TTAGAAAGTTTTCTTATTTAATTGTTACTTCCCTTAGACCGTAAATTTATAAGCTTTATTAAATTGCTTTATTTTGTTTCAAACTTTAATGTCATGAGAAGACATCTGTTAATAATATATTTTTTAATTCAGCATCTTTTGGGTTTTTTTTTATGTACCCATATTTTGATACTATTTATCGAAAAACAAAATATATCATAAAGTCACACTTAAAAGTTTAGGTTGTCATAAAGTCACACTTAAAAGTTTTGGTTGTCATAAAATCACAATCGAATGTTTAGGTCATCATAAAGTCACACATAAAAGTTTAGTTTATCATAAAGTCACAATTAAAAGTTTAGGTTATCATAAAGTCACACATAAAAGTTTAGTTTATCATAAAGTCACAATTAAAAGTTTAGGTTGTCATAAAGTCACAATTAAAAGTTTAGGTTGTCATAAAGTCACAATTAAAAGTTTAGGTTGCGATAAAATTAACACAAATGTGAGAATACATCGATGTTGAATTCGCTATACCTTTTTTTACGCAAAAAAAAACAAACAAACAAACCAAATTTGATTCTAATGTATGCTATTCTACAAAGGTGTACGTTACTACGTTGTTGTTTTATTGCATTTTAAATTCAAAATTTTACGCAAAATAATATACTAAATAAGGGGATGACGCTACATCAACACACATATAGTCTAACAAACAGAACAATTTAGATATTGTGATGTTTTACAAATGGACTTACAAAACCTTAGGGATTTGAATAGTGGAAAATGTGGGGAAAAAAAGAAATTGAAAAAAAAAACGGTGAAGACAAGGAAATGGTACTGTAATGAATATATTACAGAAAACTATCAAATAGCTTCTAGACATAAAGCTTGTAAAGGGTATCTAACCTTGTGGCCTATGGTTAATTCAGTTACAAAGACCCATAACTACACTGTATTAGAAAAACTTTACAAATGTAGAAAATCATTAGAGCCGGGTAATTTGCGGGATAAGAATTTATAGTATTTAATAATTTAAATAAAGTTTGTCTGACGAACTCTACTGATCAATGACTTCTTTTGAGATCTATTTACATACATTGATATAAAGTATGTTGAAAACGAAATAAAGCCTTTTTCACATACTCTGAGCGTAAAGCACATGCAACTAATTCCCATGGATATGGTGTCGTGTTGAGTGCCTTAGTCAATGTGAATTCAATGGTTTTGCTAGGTCGGTTGTCACCCTGTGTGGCACCTCTTGGTGTCACCCCCCCCCCCCTCGAAATTTGACAAATTATGGGATATCTATATACCTATATATCTATATATCTATATATATATATATATATATATATATATATATATATATATATATATATATATATATATATATATATATATATATATATATATATATATATATACATATATATAATACACTTAGTGTTAGCCCGCCTCCCACTCCTACTTTGTCAAATCGCGTGAATTTGTGAACATTTTATTTTAATTCAAAACGAACAAAGCAACATTGTACCCCCCCCCCTACCAACTTGTTAATTTAAAACGTAAAAGGTTTAAAAATCTAATTAATCATTTTTCTTCTATATAATTTGCAAAGTTTTTGTCTTGGTGTCAGACCCTAATTGGGGTCACCCCCCCCCCCCCCCGTTGTGTGCTAACAATTAGATATCTGACTTTGTGTGATAATGATTAGATATCTGACATTGTGTGATAAAAATTAGATATCTGACTTTATTTCATAAAAAATAAGATATTTGACTTTGAGTGATAATAATTAGATATCTGACTTTATTTCATAAAAATTAGATATTTGACTTTGTGTAACATGAAACAAAATTACTTGAACACTATTTAAAATTATTTAAAGGTACATTATCCATGTTTCTTAATGATATTTTCTATTTTCATTGTTACTTCCCTTTGACCGCTAACAGCATTGTTTTATCCCACCTACTCGTTGGTTCAAGCTTTTATGACGCGACATAAAAAATTGTTTTTGTTTAATATGTTCAATAGTTTTTAAAATATCCATACGTTGATATAATTTTCTTTATATACCACTTAAGACCAAAATAACAGAAAGATGTTTGTAGAAGTTCAGGTTGATATTGAAACAATTAAAAGATGTGAAAATTAATTCATATTCAATTCACTGTTACATTTTATAGATCCAAAATTTATCGTCAATATTGAAAGAAAAAAAGTAAAGTTCCCTTTCAAACGTGGCGGTCTACGGGGAAGGTGAAGTAGAGTTCACTTGTTTCTGTGACCTCGGCATATGAAGGGATAGTGTGGTCAGTACTATGCCCAGCCGCCTTTACTTTTCATAATATGAGTCAGGTACCCATCAAAGCTGGGTGGACTCAGGGACGGTCTACTGACCATGTTCGAACTCGAGACTTACAGGTCAGCAGTCCAGCTCACTACCGCTAGGCCACTCCGTCACTTTAATATTCGGAGTCGATAGATCCAAACTTTAGCGTCAATATTGAGTCTCTTAAACCATACATTAGCGTTAATATTGAGAGTCGCTAGATCCCAACTTTAGCGACAATATTAAGTCGCTAGGTCCCAACTTTAGCGTCAATATTGAGAGTCGCTTCATCCCAACATTAGCGTCAGTATTGAGAGTCGCTAGATTCAAACTTTAGCGTCAATATTGAGAGTCGCTAGATCCAAACTTTAGCGTCAATATTGAGAGTCGCTAGATCCAAACTTTAGCGTCAATATTGAGAGTCGCTAGATCCAAACTTTAGCGTCAATATTGAGTCGCTAGATCTAAACTTTAGCGTGAATATTGTCGCTAGATCCAAACTTTAGCGACAATATTGAGAGTCGCTAGATCCAAACTTTAGCGTGAATAGTGTCGCTAGATCCAAACTTTAGCGTCAATATTGTGAGTCGCTAGATCCAAACTTTAGCGTCAATATTGAGAGTCGCTAGATCTAAACTTTAGCGTCAATATTGAGAGTCGCTAGATCCAAACTTTAGCGTGAATATTGTCGCTAGATCCAAACTTTAGCGACAATATTGAGAGTCGCTAGATCTAAACTTTAGCGTGAATATTGTCGCTAGATCCAAACTTTAGCGACAATATTGAGAGTCGCTAGATCCAAACTTTAGCGTGAATATTGTCGCTAGATCCAAACTTTAGCGTCAATATTGTGAGTCGCTAGATCCAAACTTTAGCGTCAATATTGAGAGTCGCTAGATCCAAACTTTAGCGACAATATTGAGAGTCGCTAGATCCAAACTTTAGCGTCAATATTGAGAGTCGCTAGATCTAAACTTTAGCGTGAATATTGTCGCTAGATCCAAACTTTAGCGACAATATTGAGAGTCGCTAGATCCAAACTTTAGCGTCAATATTGAGAGTCGCTAGATCCAAACTTTAGCGTCAATATTGAGAGTCGCTAGATCCAAACTTTAGCGTCAATATTGAGAGTCGCTATATACAATATTTAAGTACAAACAGAAAAAAAATGAAAAAGAAAACGAGTTGATTTAAAACTTTATTTACGTTTATATTTACAAGAAATTTGTGACATTTTTTTTTCTTCACTCCCAATCAAACAATCAACAACTTTTTCTCTGATTAAAATAACGAGATAATTAATTAAAAGCTTAAGAAAGTTCTACAATAATGTCAAGAAATATTTTAAGAGCAGACATTCAACAGGCGCCATGTTTGTTTACATTCTAGAAAAGACAGACATTCAACAGGCGCCATGTTTGTTTACATTCCAGAAAAGACAGACATTCAACAGGCGCCATGTTTGTTTACATTCTAGAAAAGACAGACATTCAACAGGCGCCATGTTTGTTTACATTCTAGAAAAGACAGACATTCAACAGGCGCCATGTTTGTTTACATTCTAGAAAAGACAGACATCCAACAGACGCCATGTTTGTTTACATTCTAGAAAAGACAGACATCCATCAGACGCCATGTTTGTTTACATTCCAGAAAAGACAGACATCCAACAGGCGCCATGTTTGTTTACATTCTAGAAAAGACAGACATCCAACAGGCGCCATGTTTGTTTACATTCTAGAAAAGACAGACATTCAACAGGCGCCATGTTTGTTTACATTCTAGAAAAGACAGACATTCAACAGGCGCCATGTTTGTTTACATTCTAGAAAAGACAGACATTCAACAGGCGCCGTGTTTGTTTACATTCTAGAAAAGACAGACATCCAACAGACGCCATGTTTGTTTACATTCTAGAAAAGACAGACATCCAACAGACGCCATGTTTGTTTACATTCTAGAAAAGACAGACATCCATCAGACGCCATGTTTGTTTACATTCCAGAAAAGACAGACATCCAACAGGCGCCATGTTTGTTTACATTCTAGAAAAGACAGACATCCAACAGGCGCCATGTTTGTTTACATTCTAGAAAAGACAGACATCCAACAGGCGCCATGTTTGTTTACATTCTAGAAAAGACAGACATTCAACAGGCGCCATGTTTGTTTACATTCTAGAAAAGACAGACATTCAACAGGCGCCATGTTTGTTTACATTCTAGAAAAGACAGACAACTACAAGTCCAAGTGCACCCCACTATAATTTAATCCACCAGAGTTAGCTCCACTGTGGGGATGGTCAGACAACCAGCCACCCCCCAGTCTGTATACCATAGCCCCACTGCTACCTGGGCAGGTGGACGTTGTGTACGTGTACCTGGTCATGTTCAACATCCCCACCTGCCTGTCCACCCAGTGACCTACAGAGACCTGCTTAGAACAGCCATGAGGATGTGACACTATAATGGTCAGCTTGTCCACATCTCTACGACTCTTGTATTTGTCACTTACTTTATAACATAGACCATAAAACCGCACCAACATCTCCTTCAGTTTATCAGCTACATCTACGTCATGTGTCACACACCCCAACAAACACCAGTCTTCCTCAATGTCTGACCCACCCACCTTCCACCCATAAATGATGACCTTTGGACTTTTATCATCATCAAACCATAACCTACAGCTGGACTGTCTCGCCTCACTTGAATCAAAAACCACATGTCTGGCTGTCAACACACCAACCTTCCACCACACTTTGCTGGGTGTGTCCGAGTGGTCACATTCAGGACATGGACAAGTTCTGTAGTCCCTCATCCCCTCTGTGTACTTGGTCACCTTCCCCACCCTCCCAGTCCCTGTCCTCAGTGGGTCCTGTCCCCTGGTGTTGTAGCAAGGATATGGATCTTTAGTGCCACGTACAAACTCTGGTCTGTCTGGACTGGTCAACTCAACGGCTATCCTGACAGTGACATCAGCCAGGGCTTTTGTGAGGTCATACAAATCGTTGTCATGGTAACCAGAAGGAAAATGTTCAACACTTAACTGATTTACAGGTACAAACTTTTTATGGCCAGGATTTTTCTCGCAGTTTGCCAGGTGTGTGTGTAGATCTACCTCACCTTGACCTTCAAGACATTCTTGTACTTCATGTGTACCTGTACAGGTAAACAAAACAATTTTATTACTGTAAACATTTCATTAGCTGTTAAACTTTGACAAATATAAAACATGAAAATTATCTACAACCTCCAACTGTCACAACCATATCAACCATCACCATCTTAAGATACTCATCCAGTAAACATTTCAAACTACAGAATGTTCCAACATAAGGACTTCATCAGCACAAAATATAGTAAGCATGCCGGTAGATACCTTTTTAAAATCTTTCCAAATGGACATTACCTGTAAAATATGTTGACATTTCTTCACAGGCCATACTGTTGTGGTCATCTAGACTATCCTCTGCTGTATTTGTAGTTTAATTTGTTTTTCTGAGAATCTAAACTTAACGACAATAAGGAGAAATATAATTCTGTATGATGGTCAGTTTAGAAGATTATGCACAAATAATATCTCAGATTAACATATCAGATTACATGAAACTGACCTTTGAACTCCCCACTTGACTTTAAGTCATTAGACAGCACACACCACTATGGAAGATCCTTCAGGCTCTGGAGAGAGAAATAAAATTATAGTGGAACTGTCATTAGCATAGAACTACAGAATGACAACATTTATGATGTAACTGTCATTAGCATAGAACTACAAAATGACAACATTTATGATGGAACTGTCATTAGCATAGAACTACAGAATGACAACATTTATGATGGAACTGTAATTAGCATACAACTACAGAATGACAACATTTATGATGGAACTGTCATTAGCATAGAACTAATGAATAACAACACTGTCTAATCAGTAATTAGGCTGTTACTAATGACTGCACAGGGTCCACCACTTAAAGACCTAAAATAAAATAGCATTATTTTCTGCAATAAATTTTATCTGGATTTAGTCAGATTTAATTCTAGTTTTGCTGCTATTATTATAGTGCTATACATCATGGTAAAATATGATTTTCTCTTAAATCTATAACTTTAGACTAGAATCTTTATCTTATTTAATATAAAATCTAGATCTAGATTCTAGATCTATTTAATAAAAATAATAAAGCATGTCAAAACGTAGAGAATTTTGTAGAACCTTTCGCTCTAATCTAGATTTAGCTTCTGCTACGCTAGTGCTAGCTTAGTTAGAGTCTAGACTCTATTTTTTAAAGTCTAGATTTAATTTATTTTTAGCACTAATTGCAGCAAAACTGGAACTAAATATAGTGTTCGAGATCTAGATCTAGATCTAGACCTGTGTTGAGACCGGACTCCTTGGGTTCCAAAAGTTGAGACCAAGCGTAACGCAAGCTAGAACCAACAGGCCTAGATTTACTATCGCTAGCAGAAATGAAGATCGGATTTCGATAGCCAGAACAATTGTAACTTTTATTGCCGTAAACAACATTAAAGCAGTCAAATTATAAAGTTTTGTAGAATGATTTCAATTTCAACACATTGGCCTACATAAGCAAAATAAGAAGTGACGTGTCACTGTGGGAAATGGGACGACGCCGCTCCAGTCACTAAGCCGTCCTTACGAGTTTGTCAACTTTAATAATGTGTTCTGAAGTAAAAATAGGCCCTATTGGAAATTGGTGATTAAAGTGCTCTTTAAATATATTATTCTTGATAAAATTGTAACACATACCATGGTTACCAGTCAGGGGGATAATTTATAATTTATTTGGTTGTGGCCCTTCTGTGAGCGATTTTTACCAGTGTTTTCATGTCATGTGACCTCTGGGACTCTGGGTAGTTGTACCTGTGTCCGCAGCATTCAAGCCCCAGGTTGCTAATGACACGGACCGTGTACTTGTTTAACTTGGTTATGTTAAGGAATTGTTTTTTAACATACCATTGCCGCATGTTGCAGATTAGGCATGTGAAGTAACTTATTTAGATTACTTGATTGTATTTTTCTACTAGTGTTGCATGTTGCGCACTAGTTAGGTGAAGTATTTAAATTTATAATACTTGTTGGCAATATTGTATACTGGTCGTAGCTTATTTTATAACACCTGTATATTTATGTAGCCTACACGTGATAGTGTGTTCAGCGATGTAACGTGTTTGTTGTTTACATTTGTTTTAGGGCTATTTGCCGTTGATGGCTTTGATGTTCATGAACTAGCCGTGTAATGATTTGCAATAAAGCCAGTATCTAACAACCAAAGCGTCGTTTCGTTGTGAGGGTATTGTATTTTTTTTTTAAATAGTAGGCTTTTTTGTATTAAAAAATGTAAAATGGGAAAAAAGAGCAAAAAGTAACAGAAAGTAGGTGTCAAAAGTACATATTTTGTGTCATTTGTAAAGCTATTTTAAAGCTTTTGTTGTTTCCGATATAATGGAAAATACGAATATAACGATATGCTGTTGTATAATTTTAAAACAATAAACAAATGAGTATATAATGCCAAATAAAGTAAACAAACGAAGACAGGAGATTGTTTACATAGTAAAAAAATTGACTACCCATCCCAGTGGTTAAACACCAACGTATCTTAAATTTGCTTTGATTTACTGTGCCGTAATATGTTTGGTCAATCATATCAAAGAATCTCAACCCATTTATTATTTTTACGCGTATGTCCTTATATGGCCTTCTATTGAGTATTATTTGAAATTTTGCTTTCTAGCAAACAATGCTTATCCAACTTATTTTTAGAACAAAGAAAAAAAGTCGTTACATCAAGGTGCTTACGAGAGTTTGGCCGATAGATTGATGTACAGTTTATGGTGCCGCGTAGTAGTGTGAAAATATGCTGCGGGAACCATTTTTTCATATTGAAATAAAAGGATAAAGGGTGGCTGTATTTGTTTGAAACGTTCAGGTTAGTTTGCTAAATGGTGTTACTATCAGAATTAGTGATAAGCCCTTGATAGCAGAAAAAAAATTAACCATCGAAAAAAATGTGTTTTGTCTGGCTTTAATAATAGTATTTACAAGCTTTTATTTAACTCACTTCCTCTGTCGTCGCCAGTCTGTCGTCAGTCTAGATAGAAACGCAGGAGTGAAAATTCGGAAACTTCTACTTGACCGATATGATTCACATTTGACACGTGGGTCAAGACATGAAGACAATGCAATCTGAAACTAAATTTGACTTAATTGGATGCCAAATTAATTTTTTATGAATTAATAAAAATTTGGACCGAATTAGTAGGCATGTCTAGCCAACCACACCACATGGCGTCATCACCTTCAATAGCTGCGCCATCACGTAATGGCTGCGTTCAAAAACCATTGCGCGCCTACTGAACGTGATGTTCAGTAGGCGCGCAATGGTTTTTTGTCATGTAACTCTATTGTAAATAAAACATGTAAAATACTAAAAAAGAATTCATAAAAAACGTTTTAATAACAAGCTTTTATGTAATGATGCACTAAAAAGTAGAAAATAAATTATAGACTACTATTTAAATAACTATAAAGAAAAGCGTGGGTGTCTTCCTTAACATTAGTAAAGGTATCCAATAGATACTAAAGTGACCCACGCTTTTCTTTATAGTTATTTAAATAGTATATAATTTATTTTTACAAGCTTTTATTTAACTCACTTCCTCTGTCTGTCGACAGTCTGTCGTCAGTCTAGATAGAAACGTAGGAGTGAAAATTCGGACAGTTCTACTTGACCGATACGATTCACAGTTGGCACGTGGGTCAAGACATGAAGACAATGCAATCTGAAACTAAATTTGACTTAATTGGATGCCTAATTAATTTTTTATGAATTAATTAAAATTTGGGCCGAATTAGTAGGCATGTCTAGCCAACCACACCACACGCGTCATCACCTTCAATAGCTGCGCCATCACGTAATGGCTGCGTTCAAAAACCATTGCGCGCCTACTGAACGTGATGTTCAGTAGGCGCGCAATGGTTTTTAGTCATGTAACTCTATTGTAAATAAAACATGTAAAGTACTGAAAAAAAAATTCATAAAAAACGTTTTAATAACAAGCTTTTATGTAATGATGCACTAAAAAGTAGAAAATAAATTATAGACTACTATTTAAATAACTATAAAGAAAAGCGTGGGTGTCTTCCTTAACATTAGTAAAGGTATCCAATAGATACTAAAGTGACCCACGCTTTTCTTTATAGTTATTTAAATAGTAGTCTATAATTTATTTTCTACTTTTTAGTGCATCATTACATAAAAGCTTGTTATTAAAACGTTTTTTATGAATTTTTTTTTACATTTGCGATCCAGCTTTTCAATGATGTTAAATACAACATAATGGCGGACATTTTTGTGTAAATCGATGAACACATTCTGAAACATTTAATCAAAATAAGATACCGGAATTAATAAAGTAAAACATATTTGTGACTATAAACACATAGGTGATTAATAGTTTTAAAAATTCAATAAATCGCTGATAATTTTTCAAAATAATTTCCAATAAGAAAAAAATGTTTCTTAATCGTAAAACTCGAATGTTCTGATATTAAGTATTTTACTCCACGTATAATATGAAATCGACATGTATATTAACTCAAATAGTATCTATGTAAATGTATATTTGTGTTTCTTGTAATACGACAGTTAAGTATTTTTATATGAATAATTATGATAATTATATGTGTCATCATACTGAATTTACTTCTAATTTAATTGTAAATTAAATTTGTCAATTTGGCAAGCCTTAACTTAAGATGGTGTCGGTGTTTCCTTTTCCAACTAGTATCGAATCTGATACTGGGTAACTAATAAGATTTTTAATACTATAAATGTTTAAGCTATTTTAACAAATAATTATTGCGAATATATATTATTGATTTTATGATTTGTTTACGATAATGTTAATTAAATTAAATTGTTTCCTATTTATATAACTCTGTGCATTGCATTAGAAAGGCGGGAAAATGGGTCAATTCCTTTATCGATATTTTAAGAGTATCGATAGCAAATCGTCGACAATGGTGCCCTGTCAAAACGACCTGGAACAAATCGGCCCCGTCAAAACGGCCCCGTTAATATGACCCCGTCAAATCGACTCCCAACAAACCGACCCCGTCAAAATAGCCC